TGTTCCACCACAAGCATGGCAATAGTCTGACAAACGTAACCCTGTCCTCGACGAATAACCTCAGTATTCCTTCCGACGCAATCGGCAACCAGCCACAGGAGAAGGAGACCCTGGCAGCAAGCCCCCATCAACAGTAATTGGAATAGAGCAACTGCTCAAATATGACAGAGCCCCCAAAATGTGTCATAACTGGTCAATGCTGAGTTGCCACCAACATCCCATCCCGTGAACACAATGCCTATCCGGTGACACAACTCCAGGCATCATCAAACGGCTATCCACGAATCAAGCAATAAACATGACCATGCAACATTTGCTTCAAAATGCTACCCCTGACAATTAGCATAAGACATATCCCACAAGAACCAATCAAACTTACTGTCGCACGCCCGTCGAGCCTCCTTATCATTACTTTGAAGGACTATGCCCTGGGAGTTCTAAACAGTTCGGACAACTAGCTTTGTAGCTACTTCTCCGAAGTCCAGAACTTATCTGATCTGCAACGCCTACCGAATTTCGGCTCCAGGGCTCCCGGTCGCCGCGAGTGGCCAGCGGACAACCCTAGCATCGTCAAACAGTCATCCACATATCCAGCAATGACTATAACGATACAACATTTGAGTAGAAATGCTACCCCTGGAGATCTCCATAATACGTATCCCAGGAGAACCAATCAAACATGCTATCAAACGTCCGTCGAGTCTCTTTACCCTTACCTAGAGGATTATGTCCAGACAGGGCTCCCATATCAGCCGGAAGCAAGTCAAGGTAGCTGGAACCGTTGAGTTCTTCTACCTCTACGCGAGTGCGCTCGTGATCGTGCCATTCACACGGCGGACCTTCCGTTCCAGTGGAAGCGGAGTGAAAATTCCTCGCCAGCTGCAAGAAGGTAGCCGCAACATGCTCGAGCCTGGTACACAGCGTCGCCAGGAGACGCATTTGCGAGCGCATGCTTGCGAAATACGTCACCGTTGTCGCGAGAAGGTTCAGATCGTGTGCAACGGTAGGTGTCATAGGGCCTGAATGGTGCACGATATTCTCAAAAATGACGAAGAAAGAAGTGAAGGGGTAGTAAAGAAGATGCCTTTTTTCCCGATCAGTGGTTAGTTTGACTAGAAATTCTGAGCAGGACGCAGGTGTGTTTTACCAGATAACGCCGTTGTATACAGAGTTCCAATTGGAGACCATTGACGTCAGAAGGGATAGGGCTTCGCGGGCGGACGATAGACGCAGACTTGACGAAAACTCCTCGCCTTTTAGCAGCAGGATCAGCACGTGCAGGTACTGGAACTTCATGCTATTGATGCCTAGGGCCATCTCCCGGACTTGGTCTGCTGTGGATGAGGCTCTCTCAAATTCCAGAATTTCTGCCATACGCTGTCTTAGGGTGAGAGAATTTCTTTGAAATGAGAGATGGGTGGATACTAACCTGGTTAGAGTACGAGTACCAAGCATTCAGCTTGGATCGTAGTTCCATGCGCGAGTAGATTGCGGAGTGACCAGTAGCAAGGATATCCGCAAGGATTCCCATCAGCTTTGCTAGTTCGATAGAACAACGAAGCATCTGTGCACCGAAGTGAGAGACTCGTTGGGGGATCTCTGTACCGTGCATACGAGTATGGGGCTGGAACATGAGCAAGGTACTTTCGTCCGGCAGAGGAACATGGTGATACAAAGCCGTGGGCAAGAAGACAGGGCGGCCAAAGGCAAGAGAGCAGGATTTGTCCATCAAGAAGAGAAGCCAGAAGAGACACAGTTGATGCTGTCGCGATTCAGACGAGCCTTGAGGACCAGATATATGCATGCCGAGCGCTTCCGCCTGCCTGCATGCGCTGCCGAGCAACATCCACGAGGTATTGGGCGCGGCGTAGTCCTCGCCATGCATAGCTAGAAAGGCTAGTACTTGCACGTTGACCTCGCGCGGCTCGAGGAAGATGCTGCTGTTGTTGAGGGCCAAATGCACGTTTCGACGTAACACTGCCCCTTCCTCGCTATCCTCCTCGACGGGCACGGCTGCCAACAGCATGTAGTTGAAGTAGACGACCCAAGCCTTTTCCTGTACCCTGTGTGGTTCAAAGACAACTTGCACCATGACTTCATCCGGCGGACTGATGAAAAATGGTTTGCCAACGTCAGCTATCTGAAAGAATCCTGGTCATCCCGCGTCGATGTTAGTTATAAGTTCGAAGTATGAAGCACGAATCGGGTAGCCATACGACTGATCATTCGGTAGCCCGTTGCTTTGGAGGGTACATGAAAGACTGCTGCACTTTTTTCAGTCATCTGCTCAACGTGACTAGTACCTAGCTGGCTAGATAGATATCGAAGCTCGGAGTGGGCACTCAGGTGAGTGGCATCACTCGGTGGTCGGGGTATTTTCTCGATGCTTGCTGACGCCTCTCGCAAGAATGAGAATGAATGCGACGGGCCGATGTAGAGCTTGGGATTAGAACGATCTTTCTCAACCACAGTTCTTTGGTCAGTGTCGGATGGTGGCCTCAGATCATCGGTCCGAGCGGGTGCTGAGGCAATGACTTGTAAGGCTTTATCGACGGACTTGGACAGTTGCTGTACTAGCTCCTCAAGATCTTGTAGTCGACTCTCTATGGTACGCTCATCAGCTGACCCAGCACCCAAAGAGCTTGACAACATTCGTGATTAGTTTCCATGTTACATATCAATTGTGGCTGACTGACTTGACGTCGAATGTATCTCTCGAATAGATGCACTCGCCTGGCCATGGCTTGCAAGTATTGCATTTCGGCAGCTCCCGGGAACATCTGCACTCCTTTAGTCAGGGGTCGAAAGCATGCGAGCATATGTAAGCTTACTTTAGCTTCTTTTGCCTGCAAAAGTCACACTGTGCATGTCAGTGGCGTGTTTTCCGGTGGCGGTCAATCTACAGTACTGCTTACCGCAAACTGGGCTAACCTGCGTTGCATGGTAAAGCACCTGACTGGTTGGTCCCGGAAGAAGATTCGGACTAGCCAGCCTGATATGTTCCAGGTAATTCGAAGCAAAAACCGAGAATTCAATGTAAGAATGGCCGTCGGCGATGCAAAGTCCGAGATGATCGTCCTTTGGCTCGGAGCCTCCGGAGTGAGCCAATCAGACGGCTCGAACGGACACTCCGCGGCCCATAGATGCGGAATCGCGACAATGAGGGATATAAGTATCAGTGCCTCATGACGACTGTCTATTTGACGTAGAATGTCAATTATAATTCAATCAAACCTCTCCTCGTGACAGAGGACACTTCTCGCCTTGAATTTCTGCATTGTATCTTTGCCGCATACATTCATACCAAAACTATGAACCCAACCCCGTCCTTTGCAATCATCGGCGGCGGACCAAGTGGTCTCCTCTTCGCTCGCCTTCTCGAGATCAACGGGATCACCGACTACGTCGTGTACGAGCGCGATGAGTCCGCTATTCCAAGTCCGTGGCAGCAAGGAGGCACACTTGACCTCCGCCCCTCCTCAGGTCAACTGGCGCTCCGCCGCGCCGACCTGTTCGATCAGTTCAGCAAGTTCGCTCGCTGGGATGCTTCGTGCTTTCATATGCTCTACCCAGACGGGACTACCGCAATCCGCCATGACCAGGAAAGAGATGCTCCCGAGATCGACCGTCTGCACCTCCGTCAGCTGCTCCTGGAGTCGATTCCGGCGCACAAGATCCGGTGGGGTCATGCTGTCAGGGCCGTCGAAAGGAGAGAAGCCGATGGCAGTCAAGCTGGTAGTGAAGATGGTGATATAGTCATTCATTTCCTGAATGGAACCATTGCGTCTGGATTTCGATTGGTAGTGGGGGCAGACGGGGCTTGGAGTAAAGTGCGCCCTTTGGTGAGTCTTTCGAGTACACAAAAGCTCCTCCCGATCGGAAGACATGCCCTGTCATTTTTGTCAAACGGTCCTCTAACCTTTATATCTAACGTCAATGCAGATAACGGCAGCGAAGCCCGTATACTCAGGCAAAATGTTCATCGAAGGCCGCTTAACACATGACAACCCTGGCTACGCCATCGCCAAAGAGCTCGTGGGCCCCGGAAGCATGTTCGCAGCCGGGCACCACAAGAAGCTGGCCGTGCAGCGAGTCTCAAACGGTACATACCGTGTATACTTCGGGCTGCAAGCCCCCGAAGACTTCTATCACCACCGCGAGTGCAGCAGCGGACCCTCCGGGGACGAAGATCTCAACAACCGCACGGAGCAACTGCGCAGCCTACTACTCTTGTCGGACGAATACTTTGCCACCTGGGGGCCGCAGCTGAGAAAGTTCGTCGAGACCGCGGAGGGGCCCTTCCGTGCCTGGCCGCTGTATCGGATGGACCCCGAGAAGCTTTGCTGGAGTGGAAAGACCCCCGGGTTAACGTTGCTGGGAGATGCAGCGCATGTCTCGACACCATTTGTGGGAGAAGGTGTCAATTGCAGCTTGTATGACGCTGTCGTGCTGGCTGATAGCATTGTCAAGCATTGCGGTGACGGTGCGGGATTTGATAGTTCGAGTGCAGAAAAGTTGAACCGTGCTCTAGAGGAATATGAGGAAGACATGTTAGCGCGAGGACGAGATCTGATTGAGCGCAGCACGGCGATGGAGAAGGTATTCTTCTCTGAGGACGCGGTGGCAGGAGTTCTCGAGTTCTTCAAGAGTTTCAGTGAGAAGTCTGAGTAGAGACATGGGTGGATGTTTGAGGCCTGGTCCTCTCCTCGGGGTGCTGCAAGAAGGAATGGTTCCATTAGCTGGGATCAAGGGTGAATGCATAGTATGTGTATGATGTGCAATCGGGTAGTCGGTAGAAACACTGACCTTCTCTGAAAGTCGAGACGCGGAAACCACCACCATGTTCGTACCTGGCCTGAGAGATAAGGAAATCAATATTAGGATAGTTACATGGGAGATGACCACAGCGGACTCTTCCTTCCCAATGGGACTTCCCAGGAAAACTAAGACACGGCGGACCGAAATGCACTAATTCTTCGATCACTGCTTTCTTGGACACTCACACACCGATTATCAATCATCCCAACAAGCTAGAATTGACTATCCTTTAACCCTGTTACCTATTCTACCAATTTAGACCTCAATGGCAAGCAATAGAGCACAAAAGAAAATGCCCAAGCGAGCCGCTTCCCAGGACAATGCCGGGGTGTGAGCAGCGTCCCCTCCTCTCCCCAGTTCCACAGATTCGCTAACCACACGCAAAAAGCACCAGGCAACCAAAGCGTCCCAAACCATCCATCGCATCGATCAAAGTACTGGTAGGCCCGCGAGACACGATGTATCGGATCCCCGAACAAAAAGCCCGTTCGTCATCGGAGTTTTTCGACAAAGCACTGGAGGGGACATGGAAAGAAGGCACGCAGCGTACTGTCAGGCTTCCCGACGTCGACCCCCGCACCTTCGGAAAGTATTTCTGGTGGCTCTACCATCCAGCCTATACTCCCAGTTCCGAGTTCAAAGACCTTGTCAAGGCGTATATCCTGGCTGACAGGCTCATGGACAACAATTTCGGGAATCAGTTAATGAATGCGATTGTGACACGGTTAACTGGTGGCAGCGGCGGATATCGCTCTCCTCCTTCCAAGGAGGAGATGGAGTTCGTGTGGCAGACGTTACCTCCCCTGACGCCGCTCTACCGGCTGCTGGTAGATTTCGAAGTCCACGTTGGTTCATTCGCATCGAGTTGGTTGAAGGACAACGGTGTGGACAAGGGGTTTTCAGCTATGGATGGTGAAAAGCTGAGCCGAGAAGACTGGCTGACCCGGCGGTTCATGCTGCAGGTCATGTCTACGGCGATGACTCGGTTTGCGTCTATTCGACCTCAACCATTCCAGATAAGTGCCTCGGATTACCACCGAGCTGTGGGCGGTGGTGAGACCACCTGATATGGCTTGTCATTCTGCTCTCGCCTCAAATAACTTAATAGATATCATAGATAGTCCCTACCAACTGAAAGCATCATGCACCATGCAATAAGACATGCCCTGACACAAACCACAACCTCACACCACGACCCTCCTCTCCCTAAAATGGATATACGGTCCATCCTTCTTGCTAGTAAAGCACCAATCGGTGTGATACTCACCCACTCTGACCCCATTCCCCTCCCCGACCTTCCCCAACTCCCCAGCCGCAGCCCGCAAATCAAACCGCCAGAGAATTCTCGCCAGCACCACCGTAAACTCAATCATGGCCAGTCTCTTCCCCACACACGACCTCGGCCCCGCCGAGAACGGTGCGAACGCATTCGGATCCACCCCCTTTCCGCCGGTCGAACTCGCCAGCCACCTCTCAGGACGAAAGCCGAACGGATCAGGGAAGTACGTCGCGTTATGATGGAGGGCGTAGATGCCACCCCCCCCCGACTTCCATGCCCGCCGGGACAAATTCCCCGTCGACCATCGCTCCGCCGGGTAGGACCTCGCGCCAGAGTGCGCCCGCCACGGAGGGCGTCAGCCGCATGGCCTCGTCGATACAGGCACGGAAGTAACTGCAGGAGGCGAGGGTGGGGCTTCCAGGGCAGATGTCGTTGATGGACGTGAATGCACGGCGGATCTCGTGAGTGGCTTGACTCAATGCCCTGGGGCAGCGCGAGAGGTAGAAGAATGCTGCTGCCATCGCCGTGGAGGTTGTATCCGAGCCTTGGGGGCGATATATCAGCTGAAAACACCGGCACTGCGTTAAGAGGGAGGGGGGAAGAGAACACCCACCAGCAACAATCAACAGATTACTCTCCGCCCACAGTTCCTGGAATGGAAACCCCTCGCCCGTCTCCGGGTCCTTCGCGGACAGCAGCTTGGTGCAGATATCCGCGGCCCCCGGATTCGGGTGTCGCTTGCGATCCTCCATGATCGAGCGACCGGCCTGCGAGAAGCGGAGGGCCTTGGCCATGGCCCCTGGGTAGAGAAAGCGGCCGAGGTGGAGTTTCTCGATCAGGGGCTCTTCGGTCAGCAGGGACATGCGCCGCATTTGGGACATGATCCCGTCGAGGATGTAGTGGTGGGTGTTCGTGTCGAGGGTGTTGAAGGAACGGCCGAAGACGAGCTCGGTCATGACGTCGAACGTGTAGAAGCCGCCTTGTCCGTGGTGCCAGTAAGTACCAGAATCTGGAACAGAGTTGAGAGGACGTACTCCATTCCGCCATGTTCTTTGCACACGTCCATCCATCTTCCGTGTCACTGGCGACTACTGGACTGAAGTTGTCCTGCTTCTCGCTCAAGCGGTCACATAGGTGGTCAACAACTTTGAGCAATGAAGCTTCCAGCAGTCTCAGATTCTGGTCGGAGAGGCCTTGGCTTAGAATGCGACGTTTTCTGCCGTGGACTTTCTTGTCGACTATGTTTAGGGTGCTGTAGGCGCCTTTGATGAGGGGGATGCTGTGGTAGGACTGGCTTTTTTGGACATTCTTCCCGAAATCGTAGATGTCTGGTCAGTGTCAGTCATACTGGACTGGTTTCAGTTGGCAAATAGTGTCTTACCGTGGAACCCAGTGCTGGAGGCAAAGACAATGCGGTGTGGAGCGGAAACGAACGATAGGCCCTGTTTTAATACTTAGTAACCTAACAGGAAGAAAGAATGCTCAGCAGAGAGGGCACCATATTTCTGATGACACCGCCAAATATCAACATAGAGATCCACAGATTTGCCGTGGTATACAGCCCTCCATGTCGTGATTTTGGCGAAGAAAGGGCCCGGATATTTGGCCAATGGGTGGAAGTACAGTCGGTAGATACAGATGCCGACGATCTATTGGTGGATGAGCAATTGCAATTGACGAGAGAGACGTATAGACCAAGGCTGTGACTCACGTAGATAATCCCCGCGAAGAGACTCCAGCCACCTAATCGGAGAAGAAGATGCTGGACGTTTGCGAGGAAGGAAACCATGATTAACCAACCACAGTTGTAGTGGAATACGCCCGCCAGTACGGATACTCTTGGATGATGGAGGAGGCACAAAAACTACCTTTCAGGGTAGTTTTGGTCTTAAGCAAGTTCATCGCCACTTGGCCCATCAACCACGTTATAATCAACGGAGTTAACCCCTCTGTCGGCTAAACATGACTTGACTGACTCAAACAAGGGTCATCAGTCAACATGGTTCTTTGCAAGCTGTATGCACGGGTGACCAGAATCACAGCCAATGAGGCCTGTCCACCAGCCCAACTAACCCACCGTCCCTAGTGGAGTCTTTAGAACAACTGCCAAGGCATTGATGAAGTATGTGCATTGCCTATTGGATTCGATTGGTGCCGTCAGCAGTGGTTGTGTCGGAGATAAGGAAGAAGCATGTGCAGGGGTGAGATTAAGATACGGGTTGTTTTGTAACTCAATGGTTATTTACAGTTTGTTGAAAGAGAAGGCTTATTTCCCAGTCTGTGAAACTAAGAGGTAATCATGGGGAACAACAAGACCACTTCAATTACTCAACGACTGCATGAAAACCAAGGAATTTGCTCGCCTGTCTATCGAATGATTCCCGGGTGCAAGCAAAAAGTGTAAAAAGAAATCTCCCCGACTGGGAGTCGAACCCAGGTCTCCCGCGCTTGTTCCCGAGTGGGATTGACAAGCGGAAATCATGACCGTTAGACCATCGAGGAATGGAGATGTCTTCATTCTGACATCACAGCAATACAATGTTTGTATCAAAAGCTCGTGCAAGTATCATCCGCCTGATACCACGGTTCAATGAACCCTGATCTTCCTCCTCTCCATAAACAGAGTCAAAACAAAACAAAAGCACCCAGCCACCAAGGACTCAATAAAGACCCGGCTGATTGCACGTACAATCGCCCCCAAAATCTGCTGCTGCTCTGACTCGTCCATGCTTTCTAAAAGGCTACTCCCAATCCCGGAGGTCAGGCTCTGAATCTGCGTATAATTCATCGAGGGAAAGAGTGCTTGGATCCTGTTCTGTGCCAGATTCAGGAACATGGAGTTGCCAATAGATAATGCAATGGCAAGCCCTCCACCTCTCGCACACATGATGAAGCCAACGGCGTTGGAGATCTCCTGGGGCGGGACCAGGAACTGGACTAGGGCAAATTGGGCGTTCAGGTACATTCCTGTGCCGATGCCGTTGATGACCATGGCGCCGTAGATGAAGGCGTTGGACGTGGAAAGGTCGATATGCATTAACATGGCGTTGGCCGCGATGACTAGCGCAGACCCGATGGCATACCAGGGGATGCAATAGCCCCACCGGACCATGAGATGGCCGTTCAGGAGAGTGAAGACGGCTAAGGCGCCAATGAAGGGCAGCAGCCGTACCCCTGCCAGCAGAGACGAGTTATGCTGCACAAACTGGAAATAGAGGGGGATGAAGTATATGGTCACAAAGGATGAGGTGCCGGCGGCTGCCCCTATCAGGAACTGTACCACAAGATCCTTTCTTTTCAGGAAATGGACGGGAAACATCCGGTGCTGAGGATTCGACCAGACCTGGTGAACTCCCAGGATGATGAACAGAACACCCGAGACGCAGAAAAGTGCGATCTCGCGACCGTTGTTCCACGCAAAGGTTGCGCCGCCAAAAGAGATAGCCATAAGCAGGGAGATGTAGGCCCCAACCATGAATCCATTGCCCACCCAATCAATGGCCTTCAACCTCTCCCAAAACTTCACTCCTCGGCGAAGGTCACGGGATGGGAGAAGGAGAAAATATGCTGGAGAGAAAGCACCCCCGATGCATAGGTTAATGTAGAAGGCCCATCGCCACGTTGCGGATTCATGGTCTGCAAAGGCGCTTTCGATGACGGGCCCGAGTCTTCTCGCAGGATTAGCCCGTGTTGCTACACGCTTGTTTGGCCGGAGAATGAACTCACACCGTCCCGATACCAAACACTGCTCCGATGACCCCAATATACTTTGGGCGCTCCGTCGGGGTGGTGAAAATAGACAGCATCATCATGACCCCGAGATACATGCCGCCACCCCCTAAATCGGCTATCGCCCGTCCGACGATGAGACAATCCATGTTGGGCGCCGCGCCGCAGACGGCAGACCCGACCTCAAAGACACCGACACATAGCACGTATATCCATTTTGGGTTGAAATGACCGTATACACGTCCCCTGCAAGTGTGGTTGTAAGATAGTCAAAGAGCAAACCCAGAGGGAACTTTCGTACCAGAAGAGATTTGTACTTGCCGACCCTAGAAGGAACGCCACAGACAGCCAGGGAAGCTTGTCAATCGAATCAAAGTCGTAGATGATATTTGGCTGCACGTCTGCGACAATTGTCTGGTCAAGTGCATATAGAAACACACTTGATAGGATAGCAATAACTAGCCATGGGTTGTTCAATTCAATTCCATCCGCAAAGATAGAAGGACAACATACCAGCGAAAGCCCATTTGAGACCGTGGACATCCCGTGCAGGAGGTGCAGCAGGAGGCGTAGGTGAAGCAGAAGATGGGAATGGCGAGGATGTCACAGTATCAGTTGAACTCAAATCATGATGTGCTTGTTTCTCCTCGTCCGACTCTTTCTCCCCATGCGAGAGTGTTAGTGTCCCTGGGTTGGTCCAACTTGCGGGAGGCTTCGGCTGATGAAACTCCAATGTAGTTCTTGAAGTCTCAGACATGATTGTAGATGATGAATAGCCAACAATAGCAGACTGAGATGTCTTTCTGATTGAAATGGCGTGAAGGAGCACCGAGCTAAGGCCGGCCAGCTTTTCAAGGCATTTCAATAGAGCTGGGGGTGTGGTATTTGCTTCAAGCGCACAACTAGGTAGTATTCATAATCCATGGTAGTACCCGCAAAGTGCTTATGTTCGACTCGAATAAACGTAACCCATGAACAAGGTGTTCAGGAGTTCTGCCCAAGAGTTCAATGCGCAAAGGACGGAGGATGGATAGTGATGGATGACAGTAGGAGAAGGAAGGCAGCCGGAATTACGGAGTTAAGCGCTACAAAATCAGCAGCCCAGCGTCGCGTCACGTCACGTTCCTGGCGTATATCCCAAACGTCAATTTCCCTGCCTGGTATTTGCGTTTTCAGAGTCCGAAAAGGTAGTTTACGATCACATTTCTGCCTGCCTCACTCACTCTCTCCACCCAGCGGTGGTTCAGTATAAGTGGCGACCACGACCATACAATGTGACATTGTCCTACAACCCGACTCTCATCCCCAAAGAACATGGCACTCGACGGCATCGCAGTAGTCACCGGCGCAGGCAGCGGTATAGGCCGCGAGATTGCCCTCGCCTACGCCGCCGCCGGAGCAGCAGGCGTCGCACTCGCCGACCTCCACCCGCAGAACGCAGAGCAAGTCGCCATCGAGAGCACGGCCACCGCCACCAATCCCGACTTCCGGACTCTGGTTCTGTCAGTGGACATCTCCCTAGAAGAGAGCGTGGATCAGATGATCTCCGAGGTAGCCGCTGAGTTTGGGAGGATCGACTACGCGGTGAACAGTGCCGGGGTCAGCAGCCAGAGAACCCCCTGTGATATGATTTCTGTCCGAATTGTGTCTAAGCTCATGCAAAAAAAGCAGATCGGCGTCCAGTTCCCGGCCGAGGTATCCGAGACCAGCGTGAGCGAATTTGACGCCTTCTACAATATCAATGTCAGAGGCACACTACTCTTTACCAAGGCGGTGAGTCGCATTATGAAGCTCCAGGCCAGAATGACTATACAAGGTTGCCGGAGTGGAACTGCTCGAAATGTTGGTCGCGGCTGCATCGTCAATATTGCATCCTGCAACTCCTTCATTCCAACGCGCGGGATAGTCCAGTATACGGCTGCGAAGCATGCGGTGATGGGGATTACAAAGAACGCAGGTGAGCAGAGCCCTGCGCACTGTGCACGGACTTGTCTGATGTGTGTACAGCGCTGAACAACGCCGTCCATGACATTCGGGTCAACGCAGTTTGTCCGTCGTGGGTGCAGGGGCCGATGATGAACCGGGTGTTCGACGGTAACCCTGCTTTCGAGGAGGAAGTGTTGAAGACCATTCCGCTTGGACGATTGGCTATTTCAGAGGAAGTCTCGGAGGCAGTCATGTTCTTGAGCGGTCCGGGGGCGAGCTACATTACTGGCGTGGGATTGATTATTGATGGGGGGACTACGCTGCAGACTCGGACATGAGTGAGGTCACAAGATAAACAGAGCATAGCATACCGTATCTCTGGAGGAACTATACCTTCATAGTCAAAATCATACAATCACTACTTCATAGTCAGAATGGAAATCTTTATTGACCGCGCATTACCCCAAGGATGGACCTCAAACAACGCATTCTCCCCAACTCAATCCAGATCATACTTGAGTGCAGATCTCATATTCCAGTCCATTTTATCGCCAACCAACTGACTCACTGGATGTCAGCATCACCGGACCGTACATAAACTTATAAATTGGTGTCATTACCAGACGTGGTAAAACCATACACAAGGCTGTAAGATACGGTACCTAGTACCTCAAAAAGACAAATGCACAGGAGACACCTCGGCGTTAGCCGAGGATCGGCGGAGGAAGCATGACAGGGGAAGCTCGGTCTTTTGTAGCCTTTGATTGGTCGATGAAGAACTATTCGCGCACGATCAACCGTGGGCAACATCAGCTTCTCGGGGTTAGCGGGCCATCGAGTCAACAGGAGGAATATCCCAGTAACGAGACAGCTCGAAGTGTCATTTGACAGAAATTGCGGCCTTTCATCAGCAAGGTTGGTCAGAGCTTTGTTGTGCTGGACAAAGAGGAGAAGAAGCCAAATTCTTGCCACGTGTACTCGCGTGTTTCTTTGTCAGAGCAAGCAGCTTCAAGCAACTGATATCGCTCTCCGGGCTAGATAGCAAGCCCCTTCCCAACAGCCTAGAGCACTTGTATCTAGATCGAACCTACGGTCTGTGCCGGCTTAGCTCACAAGCCTTCCCGCCTTGTCCAGCCCACGAGTCAAAAACATCAACAAACAAGAGCCGCCTGACACTCGGTGGGAGGATTCATGGTCATAGCAAATAGAAGAATAGGATAAAGATTAATAACGAGTTCACTTTATGTTTATCATCGTAAAAGACTCTCGCATCGAAATCAGGTTTTGATATACTTTGTATTCATGTAGATAGGCAAATCCGTGAGAATTGGGGTAATCTAGAGGAGCGCTATAGACCACCTAGCTTGCCCCATTCAACAACCTGCCCCTTCCCCAACTCCCTCCCGTCTACCTGCGGGATCAAAAACCCCGCAAAATACTCATCCAGGTCCTTCACCCGATCCGGTCGAACACTACATCCTACCCAGAGGTCAGGCCTGACAACGACAACCGCCCCGGTGCCATGATTGACCCCCCACACGGTATGCCCGTCCTCATCCGGCGCACGATCATCCGAGACGACCGTAGCAATCGCCTTCAGAGCCTGCAACGCCGGGTCTGCCAGCCTCTCTTCAATCTCAAACGGCAGACACTTCGTCACAACCACAACATTAAACACTCTGCGACCTCCAAAGCGAACATAGAACCCATTCGGATTGGCCAGCGCCTGCGCAAACCGCCTGACATAAGTGGCCACCGCGCCCTCCCAGGAGGAGACGAACAGAACCAGGTGAAAGAACCCGGCGCCGCGCATTACATCATACAAATAGCCTGTGCTGTTGCGGTTGAGACTCACCCGCGGGTTCGGCGCGCGAACACCGCTGTCGACAGCCACAACTGGCGATGTCTCGAGGTCTGATGCGGAGGGGTGGCGACGGCATAAGGCGGACTTTCCGTAGGCAACATCTAGTCCGAGCATGAAGGCGCCGTACTTGGTGTAGAAGTCTGCTAAGTAGAGGTGTTCGGGCAATGAAGTGCCGGGTGGGAATAGGCCGTAAGGTTCCCCGCGCACGGCGTGTTGGATAGCCTCGGCGCCCAGGTCCTTGCCCAGCGAGTGGGTGTGCAGCACGGGAGCATCGGAGTTGCAGCAGTAGCGGAGGTATTTGCCGGATATCTCGACGACGTTGGCGGCATGCAGACGGCGTTCCGAGTCATACGTCGGAAGGAGGGCTGAGATTGGGGATAGGTTGCGCGCGCAATAGCCGAGTTTCCAGGCTAGGTTAGAGGCGTCGAGGATTGAGGCGTTGAGTCCAAAGGCTCCGAAGACAATGTGGACGTGGCTATTGCATGACCATGCGCAGTTAGTTGTGGCCTAGTCGAGGTTGTAAGGTGGGAAACTAAAACAAAAGCGCACGAGGCAAGCTTACGCAGCATCACCTGCGAGGTGAACTCGCAGACCATCAGAGGAAAAGGCCTCTGCAACCCGCTCACTGACTTTCCAAATCGCAAACCAGGTCAGCGGCGAGGCAACCCGGACAGTATACGGTGTAAAGATGCGATTCGCCTGCTCGAGGACCTCATCGGGCGTGATGGAGTTAGTATCCACCTTGCCTCCAGCTTCCTTGAAGGAAGGATCCCGTTCCTGTCGTTATTTGGCGATACGCTCAATCAGTGACAAGTTGAGCTGCGTATACAGCCGAATATGCCCGTCCTCGCGCGGAATAATCACGCAGCAACCATGCTCCGTACTCAGATAGCCGCCAAAGATCCACGCATGAGGGTAGTCAGACTCGAATTTCCCGTCCATGATGCCCCAATACATATCCGTACTCACGCCATGGAAGGGGATATTGAGCTTCTTGCGGATCATGCTCGCAGCTCCATCGCTTCCAACCAGAAACTTGGCGCGAACGGTCTCTGTCTCACCGGTCCGGTTATCTCGAATAACCGCTCGGACAGGCTTTTCAGGATCTCCAGGAGATCCAGAAACCCTGTACTCTTGAAGAGTCGTGCAACGCTCGCCCAGCACTTGATGCCGCAGCAGATCTCGGACAAAGATCCGCTCCAGCTGACCCTGTGTGATGACGTTGAGGCCCCGGTACCGGAAGTCCGATTGATGCGTGCGGCCGTGGAAGAGTTCCGTCTCGCCAGATCGCCGTCCGCTCGATCAGGGGCCCTTCCTCACTGACCTCCGTCGCGATGCCCCATACATGAAGGAGCTCCAAGTATCGGGGCAATACAGCATCGGCACGGCCGGTAGGCAGAGGCCCTTCGGTTTTGTCCAGAATCCGGATCTTAATGCCCTGGCGGACAAGGCTGAGAGCGATTTCTAGACCTGTTGGTCCGGCTGAACCCGATAACCGCGAGTCAGTACAATTAAAACGCTGTTTGAGATAGGAGCTATGGCGAGCTGCGTACCTCCTAAAATGAGCACATCCACCTCGCTCGATGGTTCCCACCAACCCAGTGGTCCAGCGGGCGAGTTCGTGCCGTTGAAGATGGTGGGCCATGACCGCAGTCTGCTCTCCCCAAGGGGATTATGCACAGAGGAAGTCACGATATCAACAGAGGGAGGAGTCACATGGTGCGATTGAGGATTAGGGAATATTTCTGCATCAGGCTTGGGATATCTCCAAGGCTCGCCTGCAGAGGGCTGTCGGAAGCCGTTTTTCCAGGTACATGGCTCGGGGGACTTGGACATTGTAAGAAGTGTAGAGGTAGAACTTCTGGGGTTAGACAATAATAGAGATGAGTGAGCCTAGCACAGAGAGGGAGTTCGTCACGTATAGTCTGTCTCTCCCAAACGAAAGACTACAGTTATCCTCCATTTTGTATATCCCTTCACTAACCACGTCATGCGATGCTCCAATGTCATCTGCATCCATTCACGTCTCATCATCGCAAAGGATATACCCAGTCCAGAATATTCTGGTGTCATCTTGCGAGGACAAGTGAGCTTTGAGTTATGGCTCTCTCTCGCATGCCGATAACTCGTAGCGGAATTGTCCAAACTTTCAATATGAAGAGCAGTGGATTCGAAAAATACAGCAGTGACGTAGAAGATAAGGCTTCTTCCGAGTACTAGACTTTCGCTTCAAAAGGGTCGGTAGCTCAGTGGTATGAGCAAGAGATTGCAGATCTCGAGGTCGCGTGTTCGATCCACGCTCGGCCCTCAAAGCGTTTCTTTTTTAGTTTTTGTATTGTTAGCTCGCTCTCAATATTCATGAAAATGATATCTTCGCAGTGATTCGAAGTTGCAATTGAGGGGGTGAATGGAGGGGAAACAATGGCAGTCATCATGCAGCCTTGCTGCGCATACTTCCCGATCTCGAAGGACCCTTGAGCATTGTGATCTCAACGTACTGGATCCGAGCTGCAGCGTTGATACCTCTTGCGTGTATTCGTCGATGGCTTTTCGTTTTCTGTTGTCTGGATCCCGAAATATATATTTTGCTCGGAGTGAAAAGCAACAATGCACGTGAAGGATTTTATCGAATCCAGGAAGATGCCATTCGCGACACTCTTGCCCGCTTCTCTCAGGTGGAACCAATCTTCATTCATTAAACACAACAGGTGGTTCCAGATATTTACAGTACCTAATTGTATTCACAGAACTTTACCTGTTTGACTCAAAGCTCGTGATTCTCGACGCCATCACCAGCAGCAACAGCTGGTCCCTCACGTCTTGCGGTGAAAACCCCGCACAACGATACCCACTCATTTGCTGACTCTGTCTGAGGTGCTTCTAAGATAGCGGCCGCTGGGCCAGTTCTTTTGCACTACTTTAACCACTAGACAAATATGCCGAAGATGAGAAGAGAGGGGGAAAGGCCTTTGTTGCAAGGAAAAATGTTCGTGAACCAATTTGGGGAGCTAGAAATAAGAAATTGATTTGAAAACCATGCGCTGTGAATACGATGGAATCCGAAGCAGGATGTACACTACTGTAGCTCGCACGATCACATTATGGACAGGAATCAAGATACCCTAAAGACCCCCAATCTTTTCTTCCCTGAATCTGATTGCCAGTTTCTCCAAGTTGAACCAGCGGTAAAAGAGCCAGTCAAAGGCCGTATGCGGGAGAAACGTGCTGAAGAACCAGACTAAAGTCGGCGCATTGCCATAAAAGAACCATGCTTTGGGCGAAGGCTTGACTATCTCCTCTATAACACCCTTGGCATATTCCTCTGGCGTCATTGTGTCTACGCTGGAGGGAAAGTCAGTTAGTGGGTGCGTTTGCGAATTGTAACCGAAGGAAGTCAGAACCACTTACTGGGAGTCCTACGAACGTGCTGCCGGAAGGCATCGGCGAGGGGCCCGTAAACAGAGCCCTCAGGGAGACTACGATTGAAATCCGTCTTAAGGATGTTGGTGGCTACCTCACCGGATATCACATTTACCACGCGAACTCTTTAGGAGCCGTTAGCCCCCTCCAAATCTTGTAGTGAAAGGGAGGTAATTGCACGACGAACCCAAACGGCAACATTTCAACGCGTAGAGTGTTTCCCCAATGGATCAAGGCAGATTTGCTTGCGTTGTATGATGATCCGTAGACGTATGGGCAGATGCCGCCTATGGAGCCGATGTTCACAATCACACCTTGCCCCGCGATGAGCATGCGATGAAAGACATGCACCATCTGCATCGGCCCGAAAACATTAACACGGAACATCTTTTCGACCTGGGCGGCATCTGTGTCTACTGCTGGCATTGTGTAACTTAGACAATTCCCTTGGGAGGCTGTCAGTCAACGACTGGCGGGTATGAGAATAGGCCTCACGCGTTGTTGATTAGAATATCAAGTCTACCATTGGCATGAGTCTCGGGAGCCGTATGAAGCTCTTTGACGCTCTTCTCGCTCGTCCCATCTACTCTATAGATTTTGACATTGCGAGCAGTCAAATGAGTGTCGTCTTCGTGGGGAAGCAGCGTGGCGATAACAGTGTAGCCTCGATAGACGTCAGGATCTTCTAAAAGCCCAGTTCAGCCCTGCGGTGCAGTACCTTTATCATGTAGACCATACGCAAGGGCTTGGCCGATGCCACCTGCACCACAGCTAGGGCATACTGTCAGTAAATGACGATGACCTCGGTATTGAGAGAGTTACCCGGTGATCAACGCAAATTTCCCAGTCATGGTCAATAAGAAGCTAAAAGATATGAATTTCTGAGCGAGTCGTCAACGGAATCTTTGATCTTGAAGAGAGCATAAGAGACACAACAGCGGCCAGACCTATTCTGACTGTATGGCTCCTTCGGGGATCACGGCTCTCGGGCTAGTTGCGAGCCAGCTCAACCGTCGTTTGAATGAAAGCCCAGGACGCAATCTGGCGTAGGGAACAGTAAGCTCTACCTTGACAATCTGATTTTCGCTCCGAGTGACACGCACTCCACCAGTAAGCAAGGACACCCTCTTCGAAACAAAAGCCAAATCTATTCTGTATCATCGCAGATCTAGCCGGTAAGTCTCGAAGACGATATTCAGAAATTTACACAAATCCGAAGGTAATTCTGATGATCGGTCCGGTTTCTCAGGAGACTTGGTTTTCCGGATTGCGTCGTCAGCAAAGTGAGGAATCAACAGCAGCTTGTTGCGGCAGAGGTGCATCACGACTCATCTTCGACTCCCTCAATAAACCAGCTGAACAACAAGGATGAGGCCTGTTCCAGCGTGATAACTGCTCAATGTGCCAGACCTCGAGAACAGAAGTTAGCGAACAAGATATCATCTGGTCCTTAGACTGTATAGTAGCATGCAAAATCGTGCCAAGAGCTGCAGGCACAATACTCAACAGGGGCACATGGCCATCAAACTACACTTCTAAATGCGTTCGCAGAGTGACGTAGAAACCTGCAATTTCTGTTGATTTCGATTGAGGCTGCATCATTCTACAACATGGATTGCTGCTCAGTATTCAGCCACTTAGCCAAGGAACGAAGTTTCTGAGCCTTCCTGGCTTAGTGATCATCACCAGGCAGAGTAGTTTCTGATGCCTCAATTGATCCCCGGGCATTGAGCTTGGGCTCCGAGTACCTGACGCTTCTACAGAGTCAGCAGGGTCGCATTGCCGGCCCCGGACAAAATGGAATTAAGAAACCTGATAGTCATTGACTTAGACTAGGAGATAGTGTGAGAAAAAACAGCTGGAAAGCATGAATACGACAGTTAGTGCGAGAGGATGACGTCTCACATGTTAGCATTGCATCAAGCCTGCAGACCACACGTGGAAAGACTGTAGCTAGGAGCGGCTCAATTGAAGAAGAAAAGGTATGGAATATCAAAGTCTGGCTATGGTCATAAATTAAATCATCGGGTGTTTGCTAGGCATTGAGAGAGGCAGAAGAATAAGTTTGAATTGGCAACGCCTAACCCACCGAAATGTTGAGCGCATTCGAAGTTAGCAGTCACCGCAGCCATCCTCGCAATGCAAAATACTATGCCTAGTACTAGATACCATAAGCAATAAGAACAAATTCAGTATCCAGCCTTAATTCGAGGCCCAGGTGCGGAGCATACTATATCGACCAAAGTCCACACAACATCCAAAATCAAATTCTCATCCCCATCAGACTAGAGTATATACTGATCCCTTACTACTAGCACGCATAAACTGACCAACTCCCCTAAGACAAGATCCTACTTCCTCTCATCAGCCGGATAACTCTCCGCCAAGCGCCCCATATCCTGCTCCACCAACTTCCCATCCAGATACAACGGCTTGATAGGCAAAAGCACATAGAGCATCCGCGCCGGCTCCGTCGGCGACAAATTCCGCCAAGTGTGGATGGTAGCCCGGTTGACAGAGACATCGCCGCGCTTCATCACGCGCTTCTCGCCACTGTCCAGCTCGAACTCAAATTCCCGTTCCAAGACCACCCCGTAGCCCAGGGAGAGGGCCCGATGCGCGTTGGATTCGCAGCCCGGGGCGAAGTCGATGATCCGGATGAGCGTGCCTTCGTTCTCCATCAGGCCGGGCTAGATTTCAGTTGCTGTGGGTTAGCAGGTGGGGGGCTTTCCTGGGTGTGCGTGTAGGAGGTGTCAATGCACTAAGAAAAAGGATGTGCGCTATGTACTGTACCTCGTGGGTGCTGGAATACTGAAATCCTGGCCGTCGTTCAGGTCGACTGGAAAGCCGGTTGTGTTGTAGATGACGTTGTTGATGGCCCAGCCGTTGGCCATGGGAGAGTCCCATTGAGAGTTGGTGGGGGGAAGGAAGACGCCTTTTCCTTTCTCATTGTGGGTGGTGATGTTGCGGGTGATATCTCGGAGGCCGGGAGCTGGGCACGTCTGCTTGCCATAGGGCCCGGGCGATGTGAAGCATTCGGGCATTGTGAATGGTTGGGAAAGTGGTTTTATTAATCCAAACTGAACAATGTGCTGGTGATCGTTAGTATTGAGGCAATGTCTCTTATACAATGAAGGGTTGGCAGTTGTGTCCGGAAAGGTCCCATTTATCTTCGAATCTTAGGGGTACGTTGTAGTTATCCCGGTGGGTGTGATATCATCCGAATTAAAGGATATTCTTTCTAGCACCCACAATCCTTAATTCTGAAAAATTCTGGTCTGAGTGTATTCTGTCCGCACCTCAATAGGAAATCATATCGTTCGGCGATTTTCAGACATAGAATGACTTAGTCTGTAAGTAGCAGTCTCCCACCTGTACTGGTAATGTCTTATACTCTATTGACTAACCTTGTGTTTGTACCAGGGTCCTGAGCCCCATATTCTGATTCCAGGCAGCCTTATTCAACTCTTGCCTTTTGCAGATCATCTGGGGAAATGTTACACTGCATCGGTTGTACCATGGGTGGCGTATCAGTTGCTTGGTTTGCAGTTCTTGAAGAAACATTCGGATTCAGATGATTCAAATCAATGACGAAACTCAACTTGAACCATAGGTCTGAGTACAATCTTCGGGCCAAGGCATGATTATTGCGCATCAGAATCATTCAAATTCAATGTAACAATGCACGAAGTACCCATTGCTATTGTTCACTACAACCATAAAAAGATGTGCTGTTCAAGATCCTGTCGTGCCACCTGACTTCTTCCCTAACACACCTCATATCAACTATGACCGACCATCTAAGCACGACGTGTAATGGTCACTTGCATGTCCTGAATCAGCATGAACACATAGCTCTTCACAGTCCAAGGATTGGTAGGACTGTAGATCGAAAAACCAAAGTGTCGCAAAAGCTGAGGATAGTCAGCACGTAGGCTTAGCTTCCAAACCGGTCTGAAGGTGACCAAGCCGGCACACGTACCTCGACGATGACCTGCTTCATTTCCATGACTACCATCTGTCGTCCCAAACACAGCCATCTCCCGTATCCAAAAACAAGGTCGTTGACCTTCTCCATCCGAGCCCTCTCTTCAGAGGTGGCCTTAAGCCAACGCTCCGGTCGGAAGGTTTCCACATCCTCGCCAAAGACAGGGTTGCGTTGGAACCTCCAGAAAGAGGTTGCGATGCCCGTCCCGCCGGGAATGAACTTACCCTTGATGACCTCTCCACCCTTGTTGACTTGCTTGATGTTGAGCCCCGCGAAAGGAGGCCAAATGCGCATCCCCTCGCAAATACAGGCATCAAGGTACGGCAGCCCAGCCACCTCTGCCGCGGTTGCCTGTGGGGAAACCCTGCCGCTTCGGGTTGCTTCGTCGATCTCAGCGCGGAGTTTGTTGTATGCTGGCGGGGAAGTGAAAATATGCAGCAGCGTTCCTCGAAGTGCCGCGGAGTTGGAGTCGGTTCCGGCAGAACTGTGCAGTTTAGATACAGCATAGGCTTGGGAAAAAGGCAATGCAAGGGAACCTACAGTTGGGTCAAGATCTCAGCCTCGGCTTGTGCGACAGACATGCCATGATTCAAGAACGATCCAAGCATATCCTGTTCGTTCTTGCCCGACTCAATTCTTTTCTTGACCGTTGACTCGGCCATTCTATCTCGTATCAGCAGAGTTCTTCAATTTGCGTCTTGCAAAATTCCGTACGCCATAAGCTCCCCAATACCCTTCTCATCTTTAGTGCTTGGACCCCACAGCTTCTTGACAAAGTCACGGTTCATAAAACGACACAAAGTTGGCATGGAATTAATCACCGAGATCATGGGTGCCTCTGCAGCAAAAGTGGTATGATAGCCATGCAAGTCTTGGTCGGTGGCGAGATACCCAAACGGCTCTCCGAAGGCCATATCGGTAATGACATCAAGGGTAAAGAATTGACACGCCCTGCTAAAGTCCATGGTACAGTTTCCATTTCCTCGGTCAATGCGACATCAATGTAGTGGAGAAAGGTCTGGATACTTCTTGCGATCTTGCGTTCGAGGATGGCATTGTTCTTTATGATATACTACAGATGCATGATCAGCATTTGCAATCCGACCACCTTGGCAGATAGCAACTACCGCTGGTTCCATAGTCGCTCGCAGTTGATCGTGTTTCGCTAGGTCTCGCTCGGAGAAAATATTGTCGATGTACGGGTTGAGTCTCATGAACGTATACCAGTCGGTTTTGGCATGTTTACTGCGGGCGTTGTTCATGTGCCGGATGATGTCCGGGTCATCGGTGAGCAGTGTGGTCGGCCCAATTCGAACCAAGTGTCCTGGGGTCATTACCCACATCAGCATCGAAGATCATTTCGGCATGAGGATCATTGCTTACCATGTTTCTTATTTGCGTCCAAAAGGATCTCGTGAAAGCGACCTGATAGCGCTGTCTTGGCGAGCCATAGCTCCGAGAAAGACGCAAGCCATGGTCCATGGAAGTTTCTGAGAAAGAACCAGGCTCTGATGTAGTTGAAGGCCAAGCAGGCAAAGATGAAGGAAGCTCCATAGAATGAGAAATTCGACACCGTGAGGTAGTCCTGAAGAGCAATACTCCGTGATAATCATTGCGAAGAAACAGCCAAGTGTCGCTTTAAGCATTCGAGGTAATGATAGTCGTAAAGAAATGTTCCGATTAGATGGCTCTGGGATAAATAGGTCAAGAGAAGGTACAGAGTAGAGCACCTGCTTCAATCAAGTCACTTAAGGTTTAAGGGAAAGATAGAGATAGAAGGAAAAGAGATGGGGGCTGACTGTAAAAGTCGGGGTCAACTATAAAAAAAAAAAAAAAAAAACAAACCTAGGGATGAAATAGCTCTCCTGCAGTTTGTGGAGAGGACCGACAACTGGGTGTTATCAAGCTTTTCCTTGTTCCATCGTTCTGCAAAACAACGTCGGGTAAATTTGAAACTCGGAGAGCCTAAGACAATCGCAGAATCAAGATAACCGTGCAAGGCCTCGAGTCACACTACTGTATGCAGCCCACATGAGACTCATCCCATGTGTTCGCCATGATCATGGAGCAGCCATGTTTACAACGTGCCACAACCGCAGGCCTTGTTCCGCCTCGAAGCGTAGGGTATGCTTTGAGCCAGCTCTTGATGCTTGAGTGAGCTCGTAGTAAACTGGTCTGGATTATAACACCTTGCACCTCGAAGCCGTTCACTCTATAGTCGATAACTTGCTCATTGATCGTCTATGGGGCTATGATGACTCCGAGTGTGAGACCGGAGGACCAGCGATAGGCGAATCAGAAAATGCTTCAAGGATCGTGCATCCTGATCTTCTCCCATTCTTCTCAGCGTACAGGTAATCTTCAGGCTCTATCCTTTCAGGATCGACGTGACGAAAGGATGTGTGAGCGGTATATCGGTATGTTGTTGAAGAATGGAGGGTGAATGACAGTCAGGCGTCCGGACCGCAGGAGAAGCGGAGCTGGTGTAGCGTAACCTGTGTCTCGGAATCATTGTCTGACATACACCTGGTCAGTCTTCGAGGGTCATGCTCAAGGATGAACTATATCGTGGAATGCAGAGTGTTGTCTCGGATACTCTTTGTAGCTTACGAACTCCGACAAGGAGACCTCGAAATTCAGACAGAAAATCGAGGCTCCATATAAAAAAGAGCCTTCTTCCTGGCTGAGCAGAAAGAATCCAGATATAACAGCCACTGATTAATTAAGAGTTCTTCAAAACAGCTATATCTTGGTCACGAAAGAGGAATGAGCCTTTATAGCCTCAAGTCAACGACATGAGCCCAACATTCAACGAACTGGAAGGAGCAATGAGCGAGTTCTCTCCAACCGTTTCAGTATCTGACTTCCAAACACCCGATGGAGTCAGTGACGGCCCCTTTGAGAACGAGCCAATCGCTATTATCGGGCTTGTTATGAGGCTCTCCGATCATGATGAGCATTAGCGATTGACATCTGTTTAGGTTGCCGGCTGCCCGGGGGAGTGAGATCTCCAAAGGAATTATGGGAGCTACTCGTTGCCGAAGGGTCTGGCCAAGGTGATGTCCCTCCTTCTAGATTCAACATTGATAGGTTCTATCATCCCAATGGGTCTGAAAGACCTGGCAGCCTTGACAAGCGAGGCGGATACTTCCTCAAGGAGAACATTCGCGATTTTGAGAACAGTTTCTTCGGGATTAACAACCTCGAGGCGACGTACATGGACCCTCAGCAGCGGAAGTTGCTCGAAGTGATGTACGAAGCTTTCGAAAGCGCTGGGGTACCTTTTGAGAAGGTATCCGGGGCCAATATCGGTACCTATGTCGGAAGTTTTGCCATGGATTTCTGGACAATGCAGGCCCGGGATTCCGAGTATTTCCATAGACTCAGCGCAACCGGAATGGGAACGACCATTCTCGCCAATCGCATCAGCCGTCTCGGACGATAACAAAGAGCTCAAGCTTCGTTACGCAAGCTGCCAGAATTGCGCCGAAGACTTCGACGTGACGAAGAATACGAGTACGAGCTGCCATTTTCACCCGAGTAAGTCTTGACATATAGCCACTGATATCTGCAAGTGACTGACATTACCACCTCAAGTGCCGTATGAGATGGATAACGATTACTTCCAGGATGATTGGGAAGGCTTTGCCGGTGAATGGTGCAAGGAGGAGTGGCCGGAGGCTTTCATTCATCCGTGTTGTGACAGAGACATCAGCCAGGAGCCCTGTGCAACGGGGTATCATCGGAAGGCTACCAGGAGAGTCAAGGAGAGGCGTTGATGCCAATGCGGCGAGAAGGGATCCTACCTGATCTATTTTGTATATATCCTCACTCTTGTGTTATTCTTGCGAGTGTACCAATCAACACAGGTGCGACAATGTATCTACACTCCGAGAGATCGCTTACACCTGCCAGTCTGCTTTGTGTTGAGATTGTGCAAACTCGGAATACTTGATCTGCAATAGTCCGCATGGTTGTAAATACCCCATCAATCTACATACATCAGCCAAAGTAATCAATAAGAACCACAGGAATAAGCTTTCCCAACACAGCCCGAATGCATGCAGGTTCTCCCTCCGTCGCTTCCCGATGACAGCCCACTGCAACCTAAGGTTCCCTTATCGATAAGCCCAACCCTAAATACTGAAGAAGCTTAACCTACCTATGTTAGGTACTCCGTAGCTCTGCAGGTGCTCCGAGTCCCGAGGGTAATTGCGTCCTCAGGCACACACTCACCTGTGGGGTTGAAGTGAAGTGTGGACCCGCATCTTCCAGTTCAATCAATTTCCGTCATCTCCAAGCAACTCCAACTCAGTCCAGCTTCCGCGCGTACATACAACATGACTGAAAACCACTAACCACTACACCCACACCTACATCTACACCCACGCTTACCGCCCATAACCCACAAGATTGACATAACCTACAATTCCCTCTCATCCTAAACAACAAATATACCGGAAACTTACAAAACCCAACACGAAATAAAGCCAACAACGTCTCGCAGAACAATGTCCTCACACCCACCACACCCCGACTCCCAACCACAACAACCCCGAGAACCACGCCACCCCCCTCCGACACCAAAACAAAGACTCCCCATCCACACAAACCACTGCCGCTTCTGCAACCACCTCCTCCTCGCCACAACCCGCACAATCACGACCCTCCCGCGCCGCAAACCCCCAGCTCAGGATGCCGCGCTGATCCTGCCGCTGCCCCGCGCAGAGGAGGAGGAGGAGGACGAGGAGGATGACGAGCTGGAGTCAAACAACAACCCCAAGGCCGAGAACGCCGCGGCGAAACAGCCTCACTACACGATCCTCCTCTCCACCACCATCCCAGACCGGAAACCTACCTTGGTGAGGCGGGAGGATGGGTTCGAGAAGCGCCTGCTACTCCGGTGCGGGCGGTGTCGCGTCGTGGTGGGGTATTTCTTGGATGCGGTGCATTTTCCGTCGACGGAGATCACCAAGGAGGCAGCAGGGGAAGATGAGGAAGATGATGGAAATCGACGGGCGAAGGTGGTGTATCTTCTGCCGGGGGCGTTGATGGAGACGGGGGCCATGGAGGCGAATGATGTTGAGAAGTTGGGGGCGATGGATCGGGAGTGGGCTGGGTGGATGGAGAGTTCGTGATTTGCCCTGGGGTATGCTGGTCCTACTGTTTTACGAAGTACAAGTTACCCTTTTTCGAATTGTCTACAGCTCAGAGATCGGAAGATGCTGGTAATCAACATAGACTCAAGGTTCTGTCTTGCATTTCCAAATTTGCTGAATGGCATACGCCAGCTCCATATACACTACAAGCGGAATAAACTTTATAACAGATGAACTAATCTAATCTCAAGCCGACAACTCCGGCAACAGGGATCGCGCAGGGAAGAAGAAAGGAGGCATTTCGTCACGAAGCGTCAGGGAAAGGGTATCGTATGTCGTTTAGTTGGCAAGGATGGTGCGGACGAGATCTGCAGAACTCGATATCAGTCTTGCTGAATTCCCCGGGATCGATGTGGGGATGTTGTCAAACGTACCGGTATAGTTGATCTCGCCGGAGCTAGTGTCAACGGCCTTCAGCAACTCATCGACTTCCTCGTCGGACATCTTCTCGCCCAGGTTGGTAAGAACTATAGCCATCGTCAATATCGCAGATTCCCCAATTCTCATCGCCCGGCGAGCGTGAACATACTGTAGCGCAGTTGGCCCACTCCAATAAATCCAGTCAAGTCCTTATCAAACACTTGGAATCCACGGGTGTATTCCTCGGGCTCGCCGGGATCGCGGAATCCTCCGGGGCGGTTGAGGACCTTCAAGAACGACTCGAAGTCAACTAGATCGTCGTCAGTCAGCAACAATCCTTTTTATAGGAATTCCAGAATCAAGGGCGCGCGCATACAGTCTCCGCCCACGCTCTTCTCCAGATCCGCGATTTCCGCCAACGTGGGGTTCTGCCCGCAGGCACGGAGGAGATCGCCCAGCGATTCGATGGCGACCTTGCCGGTACCGCGCTTGTCGAACAGCGAGAAAGCTTCCTTGTAGTTGGTCGAGGCCTGTTGATCGTGGTGAGAATGAGGTGAGTGTGCCATCTTCAGATGCGATGCGATAAAGATAGATAGATAGAAACGGCAGAGAAGGAATGGAAGCGACGGGGATGAAGAAGAGAAGGAAAGAGAGAGATTCAGATCGTGCCGCTGAGGTGACGAGCAACCAGCGACGCAAGGCTGCGATCCGCGGAAACGAGGGGCGGAAGGGATTGGACGGGCAGACGAGAGGGCCGGGATTCCACCATGGTTCCAAACAACTCTCTCGTAGATTCAACACCAGAGGGTCAACAACAATCAATTGTGTAATCAATCCCTGGCCTTAATGATAGCGGACGCGCTGCAATAAGACGTAAGGTGTCGTCGCCCGGGCATTTCCTCATCCGCCCGCCAGGAACCCCAATGCAGGCCATGGCTCCATAAGCAATGAGATCCAGCCACGTACCATGGTTGTTGTTCTGTTGATTCCACAAACGGAATGTTCTTCCTGTTTAAGCGAAGGTGACAAGGCGATGAATTGGCACGAAGAAATCAATCAGCACGTTCACCTGGGTGGGGGGTAAACACCAAAAGATATTCGATTGACTGGAATGAAGGAGGGGAGGGGAGGAAGAGGAAAGGAGGTGAGGCGGTGGAGGAGGAGGAAAGACTCAAAGAAGGGAGCGAAACAAGCAATGACGCCCGCCCCGCGCTTGTTGTTGTGGTAACCGGACACCTCAGGCTCCAATACGCGCAGTACTGAGTTCAGATCTATAGGAACGCCAACCTTGGTCGGTTCTACTGGATTAAAGAACTGAATAGGTCATAAAAACCTCTTTGCCATGGTCTCTCCCTCATGAAACATTCCTGGTCACATCATGGTCACAAACGCCCTTCGAAGCCTAGCTTGACTACCACAAAGAAAAGTAGCTGGCTTCAACTTTCATCTCTGGCAAAGTTTGCGATAAAGCGTATTAGATATACAAGAAGATTAAGTAGAAGCCTGCCGACTAAATGGGACTTGCAGTGGTGTGCACTGCCAGAATCCAGTACGTCGGCCACATTACGCGGCTGCGCCGCCATTCAGCTTGTCGATACAGCTGCTGAGTAAATTGGCCGCCTCAGTCAGTAGCTCCCAGCGAGTGTTCGTGAACCCATTGCGGAGAACCATCAGCAACCCCATACATTGATTGCATCCTTTCATCCCCTCAAGGTCACTGGGTTCGCGAACTCCGCCAACCCGCCGCAAGAACTGCTGCATGTCATGTCGCTGCTCTGCAGGTCGAACCAGTTTGACAGGGTGATTGAGCGGGCCTTCAAGAGCGTACCCGTAGCACCAGACCACGAGAGCAGCAACATAAAGGACCCATGGTCGGTTGAGCAGGTAGTCATCCCGTCCCGAGTAAGCTTCATCATTATCGAGCACCCGCTCCTCGTCCAACAGACACTCAGACAGAAACCTCAGAGCGTAGAATGTGGCGTCGCGGGCCGTGGCCTTAGTTGCCCATCGGTTCATTTTTTCGCGCGCCCCGTCGTAGTCCTTTCGGGTGATGGCGCGCCCCATGAGCCGCCCAGCTCCGGCAAAAACCTGGCAATCCACAATGTCAACATGGGAGGCCATATGTGCAAGTCCATGCAAGACATCGCGCGATTCGAATACATTGGCTTCGTCCCAAGGGTGTCGCGCTCGGTAACCCCCGGTAAACGATCCTGGCTCCGACGTTCCCAAAGCCTCGTCGAAATCCCGTCGCCAGTTGTCAAAAGCCCGCAGTAAGGCGGACCTCCACTTATCGCGACCCCCCAATGCCTGCAGCACACCCAGCGAACTTACCTGGAGATCACGCTGGTTCATGTGCCAGCTGACACTCAGCAAGCCTGCCATAAGAATGGTGCGTCCAAATGCATTGGTTCGGACCGGCTGGCCATTGAGCGTCCTTTTAAGACCATCCAAAAACATGAGAGGTTTGACTCCATTCGCATGTAGACTAGATTGCACTCGAGCCACTTCAGAGGCATTGGTCGCAGACCATAGCGCTCCATCGCACGGAAGAGGCAGACGCAGCTCGTGGGCCACCATCTTGGCTGAGTGTCCAAACATGGTCGCATGCGTAGAGTCTAACACAAAGGCTGCAAATGCTACCCGCCTTGTAGCTTCGGCTTTGATCCAGTGAGTCCATGACTCTTCCGCCACGAAATCGGGAGTCAACGTCGACCCGGTTACTGAGCGACTTTGTCGATCGTCTCTAAGGCTCGCGGGGGAATCTAGTGCAGAGCGGCCAATCAACGAACTGCCACGTCGCATTAACGTAAGAGTAGTATCATGGTGTATATGCGCTCGCTCATGCAGTGCACGGGTGGAGTACATCTTCTCGTACACTTCGAGGAGGAGTAGTGCCTGGAAGACCCACAGCTTTGCTGGAGGCCGAAAGTCGGCATCCATGAACAACTCCCAACGTAAATGCCATGCAATAAAGTTCGCCAGCTCAGCTGCGGTCTCAGTGACGTCTGATCCATACATCTTGTCCAGGGTAGACGCTCCAATAGCTATGACAGCCAGCAGAAGCAGGTTTGGGGCTTTGTTCAAGACAAATGACGGACGATGCAAGATGGGTAATTGAGGGTGGAAATGATGCCAGTACGATGCGATATAGGCCTCCATCATGCGCGGTCCTAGGACATGGCGGTCGTCATTCATATCACCTTCCATCAAAGCATCCTTCCGTTTTGCCACTGCTGAGTATGCTGCTTCATTAAAGCGTGACCCCATAAGCGCAAGAAGCTCCTGTCTCTTTTCATTTGAGAGGCTCATTCGTGAAGACCCGGCGTCCAGGATACTAGTCACGCTCATCGGATCGTGCGGAATTACTCCGTTCATGAAACTCCCGTACCCAGGATCGCCCAGCAAAAACTGGTTCTGCAGCTGGATCGCATTGAGGTAGTTCGGGATCATATTGGTTGCAGATGGGTAGCCCATCGAGGACGAGCTGGGAAGAGGGTCATTGAACAGCCACGCTGTGAAATCCTCGGGCATTGCGAAGGGAGACCGATTGTGCGTCTCTCCGCCAAAAATCGGGTAGACACAGGAGGCCAGAGCGTCAAAACCAGGGTCTGCCACCGTTGACCCCGGAGCCATCATACCGGGAACAGTGTCCAGCGCATCAAAAGTACTCACGGTGTCCAATGTCGCCGGCGCTGAAGTTGTCACTGCTGGCGCCAAGATACCCGCGTATCCATCCCCAGGCATCGGTGCATATGGTGCCGGATTTGCCAGCGACTGCCCATCCATATAGCTAGATATGATTGTCGTTTCATTTACAGAATGACGTCCTCGGTTCTGTTGACCTGTTTCGCCCGAATGTAGAGACATGCTAGTCGATGGATGACTCTGGTGCGTATGGTAATCCGAGGGGCTGAAAGTACTGGCTGACTGGCCCGCCGGGGAGCTGGTGTTTCGGTTGCTCAGACTAACAGAGCGAGAAAAGGTGGGATCTGATAGCTCAACACCCGGCTGTGAACTAAGTGGTGGATATTTGTATGCCTGAGGCGAATGCCCTGTCCGAGAGGGAACCGCAGCGGATTTCACGTCGATATTGGTGATGGTGATGGAATCTACCCGTCCCTCAACTGACGCCTGGGTTGATTTGTGTATGGGAGAAGAGATTGGGACCCCAGTCGGGGATTCGCTGTGGGTTTTCTTAAGCACGGGCGGCTTGTTCTGCTCAGTTGAGACAGTCGGTGCATGATTTACGGTAGCCTGCGCGAAACTGTCCCGCTTCTGCAGTTGAGACCCTTGCGTCGTGTGTCGTTCACGATGGCGCAGGCAGAGGTCCTGTCGGACAAAGGATCGGTAGCAGTCGGGAAAATCACATCGGTAGATCTGTTTTGGGGTATCTAGGTTGATCGCTAGTCAGCTTACGCTCCTTTGAATAATCCTTTGAAGGTGGGGAAGCGAACGATTCAGCTGATGACGGTACAGGTGTTCTGCGCGCGAATAACTCTTCCCACACCCATCAAAGGTACATTCAAATTTGCGATCCGTCTGAACTTTCCGAGTTCTCTTCCTCTTCCGTGAGGAGCCATCCAGCGCCGCATCTGCCGCATCGTTTTCGGTCGACATATGTGTTTCCTCGCGGGAGCTTTGAGGTCCCTGTTCCGGGGGAGCTACTGCAGTGACAGCTGAAGTCATCATGCGCAAGGATATGGCAGTGGAAAGTTTCGATCATTAGTGCCTTGTCGGTGGGCGGACATGACCCGCAAGAGCTCGAACTCAGATTCAGGGTGTAGCGAGATCAGCCATAGGAAGCTAGAGTGAATGGAGAAGAATCCAATGGGAGCGTGTGTTGGTCGTCGGCGTTAGGTACAGTCGTAGATTCGCGCGACCCCGTGGGGACCGAAATCTCGGCGGGCGGGACGGATCAGCTTCGGGCAGATGTCGAGGACGGTTTCGATCTATGGGAAACACTGTGAGGCTAGGTATCCGAGTATAATAGCGGTATCGGGTCTCTGTAGGTGCCGAAAGAATGCGCAGCGCGCGCGAGGTTAGGTTTAGCGTACGACAGATTGTAGGCTGTTGGGAAAAGATCAGGAATTGGAGACGGAAGAGGGGAAGATGGCCGGGGAGGTTCCGAAGAAACTCACGACTTAGCGCAGCTCCCGATTCCACCGAGTGAGCGCAGTCTTCGGAATCGACAGCCGCCTGGGATCAAACGATTGTATTAGAAGTGGGAGTCTAGGGCTGATACATCTGAAAGATGAGCAATGAGGGGATCTTAGATGGACCCTGAGACTCCGGGGTCGTTGGAGAGACCGCGTGCTGTTGCGAAGGTGGGGCAGATCCCGATCGGAGGGCGGAACGGATTCGATGGAGGGATGGAATGCTTTACACGCAACCTTAATCCTTGTTCAAGGTTGACAATGTATACCGTACACCTGCACCGAACAGTCATGGAACCCGGCTATAACACTAGAACATTCAAATACCTGTTAGATGATCTCATCAAACTACACTACGAATGTTCATTACATGCATATACATATAAACATCACAGCTGGGAACATATTGTGCTGCAAAAGCTACAACAATACAAGAGACTCAGGAAGAACAATCGCACATAAGCAACAAGTTGTCACTAACACTTAGAAATCTGTCATTGAGCGAATGAGTAGTAAAGTTCGAAGCATAGGCCAGGAGTAAGCCTGTAGCAATGTCTATTAGCCAGTAAATGACGCAGTGAGCTTACATATATACACATACGTGGAGCCCTCTGGATAATCTTTTAACTATGACAAGGCGGTTAAAAATATATCAGATCCCTACTCAAGCATCCTCCTCATACTATTATGTCGAAAGCGAGATGAGCTTTCCTATATCAGCCTGCACTGGCAGGGGAAAAAAACAACAAAAGAAAGGTCGTGCCCGGGTTCGAACCGGGGTTATTGGAACTTGGTTGGTATCAAAATCCAAAGTGATAACCACTACACTACACAACCTGTTCTTGGAATACAAGGCCTTTATCTAACTAATATCCCTTTTGAGCATCTTTTTGTGCATTTGCAGCAAAAATTGTTCCCTGGCGATAGCAGTCAATGAAGGTACAAATATTCCGGCCTCAACAATCTTCTTAATTCCACTTGGTATGCCTCCACAGTGTTGACGAAGCAACGTTCATCAAAACAAACTGCGTTCCAGACCCATGTATAAGAATGTCACTAATGTGAGTCCGCTAGACTCTGCTGGATTTTCAGTTGAGATATGGCCGCAATCACAAGACCATCATACCCATTGCACCACACACTATGTAGGTCAGACGAGTGACCCGTGCCAGGCAATGTCCAGACTTTATGTCGATTTCGTGGTCTGCTATAAGTAACCGGCGTGTCATTGTTCTTATAATATATCTAAGTTTCCTACGCTATAATACTAATGGTGTCACGTTTTTACAAAGTGGGTAACCGTGCAAGCTGTTTTGTCCGCTTGCTGCCCCCCCCGGATGGGTCGTGGCCGCTAATCATCCGCGAATGCTTATAGAACGACCTGATGCAACCGTGTATGGGCGATGCTGATGCTGGGGTGAGAAAATACATGATGGGCAGTCTGAGTGGATTCTCGACGCACAATTGCATTCTGAATCTTCTCAGATGGATGCCGTGGACGCGAAATGTGTTCGTGTCAATGTCCGCCCCGACCCAGAGGCCGAGCGTCGGTGGGTGATGTGCGCCACTCCCAACATCCTTAGCGGTGCTGTGACCTGACTTGCTCAGTCCCGTGGCTCCTCCGATTTGAACATCTATCCACTGAATCTGAATCGGGTGGCCTCAAGTCGGCCCAGACCGTCTCTGGGAGCCACATTTCGGCGGCGGTAAGAATTGGTGAAGTCTGTACTTGTCAACTAATGGGACTCGATCATCCACTGGTAAATTTGATCTTACCTTGAAGCAAGACCCGAATCTTCCGGGTCTCACCCGACTGGATCTTGTCAAACAGCCCCTTCAATAGACGCTCAGCCTCGCCCTGCTTCATCGTACCCGCAGGAAGCATTTGCAAAGTGGACTGCAACCAAGTTCCCGCATCTTCAGGCATCAATTCAAACATGGACATCAAAACACCGGAGGCATCTGGGAAGCACTCTCCAGGGAAGGTGAACATCATGCCTGTAAGGATCCGCTGGACAAGCAGTTGACCCTGGGATGCGATAAGCCGCTTGACTGCCTCACGAACTTCGACGGGCGTCGAATATGCATTGCCATCAGAAGTGGTGAACTCGGAAACCGCTGGCTTTTCGAATGCAAAGCTGAACAGATCATGATAATAATGAAGAGTGGCAATCAGAGGGTCAATCTGCTGAAGGGTGAGGGCGCTTAGGGCCGCCGAGAAAATGGGAACCGAAAGCTCAGATGTTATGCATTCCTTGGGATAGAAGCGGATCGCATCCGACGAAAGACGGTAAAAATCCTCGATGACTAGTTGCGATTAAATTAGCTAGGCCGCACGAATGACACTTGATGATGATGGACACGTACCATCAGGTAGGTTCTCTGGAGGCAAATCGTTGAGGATGCGCAAGAATGCAATTGCTTGCTGTTCGTAGAACTGGAAGACAGCCTGGCTTGTGTTCGCATCCACAAACTCAGCACCCTCCGAGAACTCGCGGACGACGGCATCAGTGGCCCACAAGAAACATCCTTCACGCGACGCCTGGAAGCCACTAGCAAGACTCTGGGCCAGAGTTGGCAGTAGAGGAGCGATTGCAGTTCGGTAGGAGATGATCATATTGCGCCAGCAACGGCAAACTCGTTCGAGGATTGGTGTGGATGATGTGAAGTTCAGCGCAATCGTGCTCATGATGGGCAAGATCTCACCACAGTACTTCACGGCGGGGTTCTCTTCACGGGGAGAGACATATGGGTTCACGACCATGACGAAAATGGTAATCAGCCCAATGTGATCTATAATATAGTCAGCGCGCCATCCTCAATGAATGTATGCCATCGGTCCTACCAGCAACAGCCCGTTGGCTTTCTTCATCCTGAGCGTTATTCGCTAGGTTCATGATGCGAGCCATGATAGGGTCACAGAACAATTTCAAGGTGTCATAGATCTTCTCCAGAGGTTGGACTGCAACCACTGCTGCCACGCCCTCGGTTACCTCCTCTTGACTCGCAGGCTTCAGCTTGTCAATCACGGACTCATAGAACGTGTGGAGCTGGGCAATGTGACCCCCAAGCAGCTTTTGACAGTCTGTTCCCAGGTACTTGAAGGCCAAAGCCGCAGCCTGGACCACTTCGGGAGAGCTATGCTGGAACCCAGAGATGACGTAGTTTAGTTGGGCCTCCAAAGTCTCCGGGTGCTGTGCCGTCCACTCCGTGTAGCGTGCAAGTGCCATGATAGCCTGGAATCGCACCTTCTCTTGGTTGGGAATCTGCACGATCAATGGAATAACCTGAGTTAGGACGACGCTTTCCTCAGGATCCACCATGCGTCCCATGGCCCTCAAACTGAACAGTGGTGCCTCGAGCTCTTGCCAGTGTGGGACGTGCTCATCACTGGACTGCGACGCATACTTGGAGACCCACTGCTGAATCAACTGGTATGCTTTAGTCAAGCACTCGGTGACCCCGATGACAGCGCAGCAATCCTTGAGTACATCTCCCATTGAGTGGCGGAAGTGCCGGAATTTCTCCTCCTGCTCGCGATCACCTCCAAACAAATCCGTCTCGCCTTCTTCGGGCCCAGGATATTCGAGGTGCTTGACCATGATATCCACCAACCGCGAGAAGACGTCGCTCAAATTCACTCGGGCGTCTGCGTATCGATCCAGCGTCACGTACTGCTTTAGTTCGTACCAGAAAACGAAGGTCAGTGAAATTGCGTCTCGTTCCCAATCCCGAGCGCAACACTCCAAAACTGCCTCGACCAGACCACGGAAGTCGGATGGTAGACGTGCGATCAACACAACCCACGCTTCACCGGCTTCTGCAAAAAGTCTCGTGATGCCTTTGTAGGCATCGGTATCCTCGGATTCGGCAAACTCAGCGATTTTGGGGCGAAGTGAAATTATGCGCGGATACAAGGCTTGGATAATGGCAAGCGAATCGTCGACTTCACGGGTATCTCGATACAGTGTGCACATGCTGTCTACGGCAGCCTCGAAAGATCTGTCGTCATCAAGTCCCTTCAAAATGACGTCCATCAAAGGCGACTCCACAATCTTGGCGGCCGGAATCTCGCGCATCCATGAAGTGATACAATCCAAGAGGCGCGGGTTAGTAGAGGCAGTCGCTGTGTGATGACAAAAGCGATTGCGGTCAGCAATGTAGAAATGAACATATCAGGGTGATATTGTACATACGTGATGACTGAGCATATTGAATCAATAGGTGCATCACCTGTTCAGCATTATCTTCCAGGAGTTCTTTTGTCCGCATGTTGAGATCATCTTCCTAGGTAATGACAGGGTGTTAGGGTCAGGGGGATACGCGATCGCAGAGTAACAGTTTGAAAGGGGGTTTCTCGTGCCAAACATACACTCAGATTGATCTTGCGGCCTTCCGTTACTTCTTCCGGGAGAATCTTTAGGAACTCCAGCACGCAATCTCCAGCGCTACTTCCCAGTGCAGCGCCCACGGTAGGGAGTACGTCCTTCCATGCAAGCATCTGAATAGCCAGACTGGCCAAGCATACGCATAGCTGTGTTTGGATTGGCCGAGGACCCGCGGCGAAACCCACAAGCAGGTTCAGGATAGAGTCTCTGAGCGCGACTACAGATTCGGTCGGCAACTGATCGAGATCGAAGATGATCTTGTTGGGGTCAGCAGGCAGGAATGGCTAGACCCAGGTCGGAGTACCAATTCACCTTTCCTTTCAACGTCGTCGCTGCGAACAACTTGGCTTCGACAGGAACATCCGGAGATTGTAACATTTCATGGGTGATGGTCCAAGCTTCGACCTAGAGACACAAGCCCAGAAATGGTCAGCATCGGAATCATGGGCGGCATCAATTTAATTCAAGGTGGCGGAATGAGGGGTAGGATAACCTACCGATTTCTGAAATTTCTCTAAGAATTCATGGGCATGCGTTTTTTCGGCGCGCGACACATTTCCTTGCATGGTAGCGACCGCGGCCAGGACCGGGCCAAAGGCCTGCCCTGTAGCCCCCTCCTTGCTCGTCATCGTTTGTCAACTCGGGGGTTTGGGATGTTCTAGAGAGGGGGAGGAAGTTGGTGTAATGGAGTTGGGAGAAAGAGGGGTTCAGCCAGGCCGGAAGGCTTAACACCTATGCAGTGCGATCATATACACTCATTAAATAACATTAAAAGAAAGAGTTCAAAGACAAGAGACAAGCGCAGAAATCCTCAACTAAAATGGCGGAAGATTTGAAGGAGGGGGGAAAGTGAAGAGGAAGGGAGGGGAAGATTGACTTAGTAGTAAGTTAGTGGTGGTGGTGGAGGTGGGATGTAGTGAGTGGTCACTGACGATCGACCCAAACGGAAAAGCTGTGTGAGCCTCCCTCTCCCTCCGTCGAACTTCCCCGAGTCCGACCGTCCTGAACTTACGGAGCTCTTCCTTCAATTCTCTCTCCCCGATCCCCGCGCAACTCCATCAACGCGTCATTATTTACCACTGCAGTTTTTAGGATCTTGGTATCCTTGCGCTCTCTTTTACACTTTACATAGCCCCTCCCTTCATTTGCGCATCTCGTTTGCCCACCATGACCGGCCGTGGAGGCGGTGGAGCTGCTCGCAAGACGCTGCTTGCGCCTATTCATTTCATCTTCAAGCTTCTTCAGCAACGGTCGACAGTGTCTATCTGGCTTTACGAGCAGCTGGCTTTCCGGATAGAAGGAAAGATCCGGGTAATTGGCCCCGTGTTTTCTGGTGGCTGTGATCGCTCGGCTAACAATTTCGGCACAGGGTTTCGACGAGTTCATGAACCTGGTCGTTGACGACGCAGTGGAGGTTCGGATGGCTACCAAGACCGAGGAAGAGAAGCGGAGGCCGCTCGGTATGTGAAGTCGTATAGCAAGATCAAACTGCTTGTGTGTTACGGAAAGTTGCTGACTGTTGTTCCACTTTACAACAGGCCAAATCCTCCTCAAGGGCGACAACGTCTCCCTCATCCAGGCCGTCCAGTGATCTTATCGGGGCGTTAAGGGATTGATTGAAGGGAAAAGGGAATTTTGTTTTTTTTTAACCGATCTCGTGCCGTTATACGACTTTGTTTGCACTTCTTTACCTTTCGCTTTTCACGGATGTCGCTGGGAAACAAATATTGCATTTCTAGCAAAATAGACGAACCTATGGATCGATATGACTCGCTTTCCCGGAAAATCAGTGTTGGCGCACCAGAGACCGGTCATCACCGACGATGAGCATGTCTACAGGCCAGTCATGATCCGCTACCGGTATCTCTTCGGTCCGGGGAAGCATTTGCTCCTTGAGAGATAGGGCAACTGCGCGAGACTTAGTAACAGGCTATTTCATGGTTGGTTGCGTTGGTTTCAGGGTGCTTGTTCCTTACCAAGGAAGGGCAACTTCGGCTTTGTTGACCCACCTGCAGCCCCCTCTCTTGAATACCTTGTCAGAAAATGATCATAATAGCCTTTACCATGCCCTAATCTCCTGAGCCCTTCATCAAATGCCATTCCTGGCATCACAATCAAGTCGAGCCCGTAAGGTCCTTTTGTAGCGTCTTCTGGCTGGGGCGAGACTCCTTTGCCCCCAAAGCAATTCATCTTCCTGAGTACTTGGACCTCGGGCAGCGACGGAATCCCCCATTTGTCGGGCTGGAGAGCCTCGAATTCTTCCATCGACTCTAACTTGAGCATGTCCATAACGGAGGTCCTCGACTGTTCCGATAACTCTAGCTTGTGTATGTAGGGCATGAAGACCTCCTTACCACTTGCCAGAGCATCCCGAACGATGGCCGTGGTGGATAATTCCCCTGCCGGCATGGAGAGATAAACCCCTATCCTCCTTGCATCCTGGTATTCCTGAAGAGCAAACAGCCTGTTGGCGGCGACTCTGGCTGGTAGATGTCAGCGTTTGCATAGACCGAGTGTGAAGGTCATGAGGCGGAGCTGACATTGATTTGTGATGGAGTCGGCGGGGATCTTGTGCAGCGCATCCCGCATTCTCCGCCGGAGGTCCTTCTTCGCCGCCTGTAGACCAGCCATCATCCTTGAGATTGAGGGATAGGGACAAAATATTGACAGGAGATAGTTGTGGGCGGATTACCAGTGGATTCTAATTGAGATAGGATGATGAATATAGGAAGTTCCGCTTATTGTCTGGAGCAGTGTCTGAGATATCGCAATGACTGGAACCGCGTGGCTTGGCATGTTGCCATGATGTGCATGGTTGTTGATCGGCAGGGCCCTGGTTGTTGCACATACCTAAGGTCCTGACTGTACCGCATCCGCCCCCCGTTCAAGGGTCGCCTGCGCCCTTTGGCGGCAGGCAGGCAGGTAGGCATTCTTCTACTACCTAACACCTCTCTTCTTGACCTTCATCTTTCCTTTTTGACCAAAACTCGCGATGATTGCGGGCTACTTTCTTTGCAGCCTCCTCCTGACGGCTGCCAGTGCGGCCAGTGTATCTGATCTAGTAGGGACCTGGACGACAAAGTCCCGTAAGGTTGTGACAGGTCCGGTATGCTGTACTCCTCTCGTTCTATCCAAATCATTGTTTACTAGGGATCTCAGTCGACGCATCAGAATCGCCAAACTGGCTAACACCCGGCCTTGTCTCTAGGGATTCTATGATCCAATCAACGACAGATTTCTGGAGCCAAACCTGACCGGCATCTCATACTCGTTCACCGAGGATGGATTCTATGAAGAGGCTTACTACCGCGCAATAGCCAATCGTCAGTGCCTGCTCACTCTCTGCTTTGTTAGAGTCGCAATCTGACGTGTAAACAATCCAATAGCCCAAGACCCAGCTTGCCCAAAGGGTTTAATGCAATGGCAGCACGGTACATACACTGCGCAGAGCGATGGTTCGCTGGTGTTAACCCCGATTGCGGTTGATGGGCGCCAGCTGGTATCAGATCCATGTGCTACACCTTTGACGTCCTACACGAGATATAACCAGACAGAGGAGTTCAAGGTATGTTTCCCTGGTCGATACATTCAAGGCAAGTTAGCTAAAAGCTGCAGTCCTTTACTATCTCGGTAGACCCATATCATGATATCCCACGCCTGGACCTGTACGCTCATGACGGATCGCCCATGCATCCCATGTACCTCGTGTACAGGCCACCGCAAATCCTACCTACAGGGGTCCTGAATCCGATCACCTCAAAGGCTAAGAAGCAAAAACGCCAAATGAGCGGAGACACCAAGTCATACTTCAGCTTGGAGGGCCTTCTGTCGAAGGAGAATGTCATCGATCCCGATCGCTTGCTGTGGCTCGGTGTTATTATGACTGCCATAGGTGGAATCACCGTTTTCTGCTCGTAAACTACAATGACATCGACATGATTCTTTTTCGGACGGAGGGTACAATGGCAAGGTTATCAAGATGGAATCTGGAGTTCGAATTGACTTACTAGGTAATAACAGGGGACTCAGGACATCATGGACACAAATGATCATAGAAAATGGCGCTGAAGGACTTCTTTGTTGGAATATTACACGGCCGCCGCGCATATGCATGGGCCTTTTCAATGCTAACACTTAATCATCTGCGGAATTTTCTGCACTCTATTATCTCGAGTATTCAAAACATCGCATTCTAGACTCGCCGTAAATCTTCACTTGTTAACATACCTATTGTTGATACATATATTGCTAGAATCGACATTTCTCCCCCACCTTTCTTTCGGTGTATTAACGTCAGTATTATCGTATCCCCGGTTTTGTGATCGTACAGGTAGGTAAAATACATGCCAGTATTAGTTCTTCTTGAAGGCAGTGACAGCGTCCTTAACAATTCTTGCAGTTTCAGACTTGTCAGCCGGCTTGTCCGCCAGCGCACCACCGGCAGCGAAGAGAGACTTGAGAACAAGGCCGATTTCGACCTTCTTGCCAGCCTCCTTCATGCTGGAGAGCGTCTGGGAGACAACTTGCTTGATGTCGTCCGCGCTCATGGTTTCCACCTGGGCACCGTATTCCTCCAAGACTGTCACCTGCTTCTCCTCAAGCTCTTGAAGCTCTGGGCGGTTCTCAACCTTGAACTCCTCAATGGCATCCTTGGAGGCAGCAATACGTTTCCGAATCAGAGACAGGAGCTGGATATCGGTTTGAATGGGAGAGGAGGTCTTCGCGGCGTTGTTGGTTTCGGAAATCAGAGCCCGGACGACGTTCAGCCTGAGAAGCGCGCGTTAGTCCGCGTAATCAATCAAGTCTTGTCTCAATCCGTAGGTCGTATTAGACAAACCGAGGAGTATCCTTGGCTCTCATAGCCGTCTTGAGGTCAGTTCTGAGCTTGGTCATCAAAGGCGGCAAGATCGGGCTGTCGGTCGAGTTCCAGCGCACCAGGCGCAAACCCAGACGGGACGAGGTGGATCGGAGAGCTGGGAACATGTTCGGAATTACGCAACGACAGACTAGGGAGGAAGTAATAGAATGCGAATGCAGATGCGAATTGATTTTTTGTTGTTCTAGTAGAGTGAAACTAATGACGCTGTCGGACCCGTAGAAAATCCAAGCCTGATAATAATCTTTCCAAGGCGGAAGAGAAGCTCTCCGTCCGCCCTCCGCCCGGGGCCCGTGCACATTTTTGTTTCTCATCCTGCTCATGCTCAATCCACAGCTTCATGCCTGTTCTTCGACCCGATTAAACACACCATCCTCGTGGCGGAACACCACTCCCTGCGCTCCCCCATTGGTGTTCCTTTTCTTTTTATCGCAACATCCCTCTCTATCATCTCTCCACGACCTCTTTTGCTTTCCTTGACCGAGTCTTCCTTTCGTCGCGTCATTGCGCTGCTGTCTCCGAATCTCCCAGCCACCTTTCCGGGGAGAGCGCCATACATAGCCCAAACCGCCTCATACGGGCGCCGTCTACTGCCGGCATCATGTCATACCCATCTCTACCAACCCTCACCCCTCAGAGGCCACTCCCTGGCGCATTCTACCAAACACCAGCACCCAATGCTGGCGCGACGGCGTCGGTATCGAACCCCCAACAAGCCGCAGCCCCAATGGATCCGCCGTCCCCCATTCAGCTTCCCAACTTCACTGCGGTCCAAACAAAGCCCAAGCAGAGCCTAGTGAGCACGGAGCAGCGTGCTGCGCGGACTATTAATGAAACCCTTGCCCAAGAATCTCGTTACCCAGACTTGGACAACTCTCTGTCTCGTAAGTTGACCACTGTGGTCGCACCGCTGGCAGGGACCCGACTGACCCTCCTGTGTAGAAGGATTCTCGTCCGACTATGATCTCCCCACATCGTCACCATGGGCTCCTTTTCAGAAGGTGAAGATGTACAACATCCCCGACCAGATCTTCGATCAATACAACAGAGCACAGGTATCGACGAACATGGGACTATTTGCTGAGTTGAATCACGCCTGGGTCGCAATCGACAATGCTCTCTATATCTGGGACTACACTCACCCTAACCCGCAGTTAGTTGGATTCGAGGATCAACCAAACAGCATCATCACCGTCAAGCTAGCGAAGCCTCGCCCGAAAGTGTTTTTGCCCAGTATCACTCACTTGCTCGTAATATCTACTACGGCCGAAGTCATTTTGTTGGGAATGGGCTGCGAGACCACGCCCGGAGGCGCACGACAAGTAACGCTGTATCAGACTGGCATGTCCGTAGCAATCCGAGGGTTGGAGATCGATCAAGTGGCCTCATCCGATTCGACTGGGCGCATCTTTTTCGGCGGAATCTCCGACAATGATGTCTACGAGCTCGTCTATCAGCAAGAGGAGAAGTGGTTCAAGGGTCGCTGCTCAAAGGTTAATCGTACTAGCAATCGTCTCGCTGCCTTGGCTCCCTCGCTGAGCTTTACCCAACCAAACGAACACGTCGCGCAAATGGAGATTGATGACACCAGGAAGCTGCTCTACACACTCTCGTCGCTGTCCACGATCAGGGTCTTTCATATGAAGCCCGACGGAAGTCTAGCTCTTGCGATCACAAAGAAAGGGCAAGACATATACGCCAATATCGGACATATCATCGCGTCCAACGAAACTCTCAACCCCAAAGTTCCCATTGTTTCCATCAGCCCCATTCTTGCAGCGGAAGCGTCCCGATACCATCTGATGGCCACTACTGCGACAGGCTACCGGATCTACCTCAGTGCTACTGGTCCCTATAGCTGGGCCTCAGCACCAAATGGCACAAGTGCTCCCACAAGCATGCAAGCTCATCATGTGAAAACACCTCCGTTGGACGCCGCTCCCTCGGCTCAATTGGCAGCCTCGCAAGGTCTTCAAGGACAGGCACGCTATCACCCTACAGTGGCAGCTAGAATCCCTGTTCACACCCTTCAGCCCACTCGGTTTGCCGTACGGTATCCACCTGGCCACTTTTTCTGCTTCACCTCCAAGGACTCGGCGGCATCGGACTCTCTCTTCATTTCTGCTCCCGACTCTGGACGAGTCGCTCGCGCTCAAGAGACTGTTAGTCCCAAGGCTGGTGAGACAGCAGTCTGGGTACCATTGGGTAGCAGAGCGGAAGATGTCGGGGTCTGCTCCCCACCCACCGAGGCCGCCATGGCTTTCAGTGGGTTCGGTAATGAACTGGCTATTCAGTATGACGAACCTGTGGCCGAAATCGCCATTCTTACCAACAATGGTATTCATATCATTCGCAGACGGCGTCTCGTCGATGTTTTTGCTGCATTGGTTCGAAACGGTGGAGAAGGCGATGACGGATTGGAGGGTATGGTCAAAAATTTCATCCGCATTTATGGCCGGAGCGAGACCGTTGCTACGGCTCTGGCCGTCGCTTGCGGTCAAGGAGTGGAGGTGTCTAGTGATTCTAGACTCACCCAAATAAATGATCCACATGTCTTGGAGTTTGCACGCAAGGTCTTGATTGACCACGGGGGCAAGCCTATGATGAACGAAAATGCCGTGGCGGACAGTTCCACACCTGCCATCGACACCGTCCTCCCTTCACCGCGGCATGCGGGCATCGCGCTCTACATCTCGAGATTATTACGCTCTATTTGGAAGAAAGAGATTGCCAAGCTCGAAAAGTCCGAGACGCCGCCCATTGGCACGGAGACCATCGTTTCATCAGTTTCTTCTGCCAAGCTGCAAGCTGTTCAGCGCGACTTGACTGCTCTGCAAGAATTCTTCAAGACTAACAAGAACTTTATCGAAGGGCTGAGCGGCCCAGAGGCTCTGACTCGGGTCTCCACGAAACAGGAAGAGACTGCCCTACAAGCCGAACATCGCGCACTGCATTCGCTTGTTCAACTTGTATCTCACACCATCGAAGGCATTTCCTTTGTTTCGGTTCTATTCGATGAACGCGTGGATGAAATTGTGGCTACCCTGCCAGCGGAGTCGAAGGAGCGCTTCATGAAACTTACGTATGAGCAGCTGTTCAGTACCACTAAGGGCCATGATATTGCGAAGGAGCTGGTGAAGGGCATTGTGAATCGGAACATTGCAAAGGGATCTAATGTCGAAACGGTAGCCGATGCTCTAAGGCGGCGATGCGGCAGCTTCTGTAGTGCCGAGGATGTCGTCATCTTCAAGGCCCAGGAGATGTTGAAACGAGCCACTGAAGTAGGCTCCAATTCGGAGCTTGGGCGCAACCTGCTGAATGAGAGCCTTCACTTGTTTCAGCAGGTATCCGACAATCTGCCAATGGACTACCTGGTCTCTGCAGTCGAAAGCTACATCAAGAATGAGTTCTTCGCAGGTATGATCCCCGTGTTCGTATTGGAGCACAAGAAACGCCACTAAAACAAAGTACTGCAGGCGCGATTCAACTGGCTTTGAATGTGGCCGCTCGCTCAGACAAGGCCAACCTTGCACTTGCATGGATTGTGGATGGTCGCCCTACTGGTGTAAGTACCCTCTTTGATCTAAATCACTTCCTTGATGACTGACATTTCCATCTTAAGGATACTCGTATTGAGTACTTCCAGTATCGGAAGCAATGCTATGATCTCATATTCAGGGTCATCATTGCAGTCGACAAGCATACTGCCAAGGATATCGGTATTGTTGATGGACAATTGACAGTGATGGCCAAACGCAGGAATGAGGCATATGGAGTGGTTTCCGACTCTCGAGACGAGGTGTTTTTGACTACCCTATACGATTGGTACCTCGAACAAGGTTGGAGTGAGCGACTGCTCCAGAGCGATTCCCCCTTCGTGGTCGCCTACCTTGAGCGCAAAGCCGATGATGACATTGAACACGCCGATCTTCTCTGGCGTTATTTTGCGCAGTCTGAACGATTTTTCGAAGCAGCCAAGGTTCAACTCCAGCTTGCGCAGAGCAGCTTCAACATTCCCTTGAGCCGCAGAATCGAGTACCTAGGATGGGCTCGGGCCAACGCATCGATATTCACTCCGGATGTTAGCCGACAGGCTCGTCAAAGACTGGTCCAGGAAACCTCCAATCTGATTGATGTTGCCGACATTCAAGACGAAATCTTGCAACGCCTGAAAGACGATCCTCGGGTTGCGCCGGAAGCCAAACCCCAGGTCCTGAAGGAAGTGGATGGGGCTATCAGGGACATCAGTTATGTATGTGTTACACCCCGAAAATTGCCTTTCCCCCATCATTTTCCACTTTACCTAATGCTTATTAGCTCTTTAACAATATCGCCGACCCTGGAAGCTACTACGATATCTGTCTGCAGATCTTCTTCCACGCCGACCACCGCAACGCGGCTGACATCAAGTCCACATGGCAACATCTCCTGCAAGACCTCCACAACCGGGTCTTGGAGCGGGGCGAGCCCCAGCCCTACGAAGCGGTGATCGACCAGGTGCGGAGTCTGGGCGGCCGACTCCGCATGTCAGACTCCATCATGCCCATCCCGATCATCCTGCCCATGCTCGAGCGCTACGCCCTAGAGCACCAGCGTGACGTTGGGCCCCCAACGTGGATCGTTGACCTCCTCCTCGACCTGAACGTCGCACACGAGACCATTTTCACCGTCCTCGAGGGCATGTACTACACAGACGAAGCGCCCTTCCAGGGCAACAACCGGAGATACATCGCCAAGGACCTCCTCTATCTCATCCAGCATTGGTACCACGAGACCGTCCGCCCCGGCGGCCGGGTCTTTGGAAGCGACACCGCCGCCAACCGCGTCCTTGAGACCCTCCTCCTCATTCAACAAGGCGGCGGCATCCCGCCGGATCAATTGCGCGTGGCCAACGAGCTCCGGACTAAGGTCCAGGATATATTACGGTAATATAGCGTGTGCGTGTGCGTGTTTGTCTGTGGATTATAGGATTGGGGCAAGTAGGTAGCATGGTTTTCAAATCTCACTTTTTTTTTTCACCTTTTGACTCTGTATTTTTTTCATGTCTCCGATCACAGGAGACAGCGAGCGGATAGAAAAGGGGGCGGTGCTGGAGTTTTCCTTTTAT